CGTAGGGAAGTCGTCCACGAAGACCGAGGTGACAAGCTTCAATTTCTCCACAGCAATGTGCCACAATGCTCTCGAGATTTTGTTGAACGCGAAGACTGATCCACTGCCTCCAAAGGGCAATCCCCGCGCCAAGAAAAAGGTCCACTGGCGATCTCTGCCCGGCATGGCTATGACTGCGTACTTCAGTGACTCCTCAAGGACGGGGACCTGCTTATAGGCTTTGGAGAGGTCGAAGCAACGGCCAGCCCATTCCGCTTTCTTGCTGTCGGGGTGCCACGGACCAGAGAGAACCTCTCCAGAAGATAGCAAGACCCTAACTTCGTCATGGCAGCTCCACACTTCCGCGACGAACATTGCCACCGCCGTCACGAAGTCAATGTCATGCATCTGCAAGTGCGAGGTGGATCCGAACGATGCGTTCACCCCAGAATCGCGGAGGTTATCGATGACTCTCGGCTTCCTGTCCTCACCCTGGAACAGCAAGAACCTCTGGCTAGGCGACCAGTCCTCGGTACCCAGCCGCTTCGTAACCGCCGCCTCGTCGGGGAACGGTCCCTCAAGGAAACCTAGTCGACATTCNNAGCGAGTAGCACCCGCCTCCTCCAGACAGCCTGTGAATCCAACTGTTCGGGGGTGGCCCTCATCGGTTTGGGTCGCGAGGGGAACAAGGCTGAAGAGGGCTCCACTCCGACCAGCGAAACGCCTTCCTCCATAAATTGGCACACGTCCTGATCGGGGAACTCCGTCTCATTCACAAGCTCCCTGAACAAAGCCAGACACTTGTCCTTCGTGATGGGATGCCCTCCACTGGGACCCAACCTCGCTGCACGGGCCTCGATGTCCTCAACTGCCTTCCGGCGCAGCTCTGCAACAGCACTAGGCCCCAAGGTAGCAATGTCAAACACCGCCCTCCTAATGTTGTCGGGAACCGACCCAGCTGAATCAGCTGGGTGAGTCAACTTGAGGGCCTCTTGCACGTGCTCCTCGCCCGAATAATAAACTCCCCAAGCCTGACCATCTGGGTTGTGAGAGTTCGCATAGATCTGTCGGCCGACCTTCTCGTCCCCCGTGGCATTG